GGCACCAAGATCTTGCCCCACCCACCAGCAGCCCAGCTGCACAGCAAACTCACAGGAAGCCTACCTTGCCCTCCAGTGGGCCCACAGCCACTACACAAGGCAGGGCCTCACAGACAACTGGGCCAGGGACGAGCCCTGCTTACCAGTGTGCCCAGAGTAGTTGTCCCTACCACACAGAAGAGCCACGCAGCCCACATAGGGGCACCCCTAGTGCATATAGCTCTGGTGACCAGAGGGGAGCCTGCTGCTGAGCCCCAAAGGATGTCTCCTACAGAAGACCACCTCTCCAAGATTAGGAAATGTAACTGGACTATTTAATACACACAAATAGACACAGAGACTTAGGCAAAGTGAGGAGACAAATGAATATGTTCCAAACAAAGAAACAAGATAAAAACCCAGAAGAATAATTGAGAGAAGTGGAGATTAGCAAACTATCTGATAAAGAGTTCAAGGTAATGATGATAAAGAAGCTAGATGGAGGAGAATGGATGAACACTCTGAGTAGTCTGACAAAGAGTTAGAAAATATGAAGAAAATCTAAACAGACCTGAAGAATACAATAATCAAAACAACAACAACAAAAAACTAGAAGGAATCAACTGTAGATTATATGATACAGGGAAATGAATCAATGAACTAGAAGACTGATAGCGGAAATCACCCAAGTTGAACAGAAAAAAGAAAAAAGAATTTTAAAAAATGAGGACAGTTTAAAAGACCTCTAGAACAATATCAAGAGTACTAATACTAGTGTTACAGGAGTCCCAGAAGGAGAAGAGACAGGAAAGTGGGCAGAAAACTTATTTGAAGCGATAATAGCTGAAAACTTCCTTAACTTGGGAAAATAAATGGATGTCCCAGTTCAGGAAGCAAGGAAAAATAGCTCCCAAAGTCATCAAGTGTCCTGAGAGTCAATTTCAAAGGATTGGAAGATTATTGGAAACAGTAATTTATCTGCCTCCTATCCATGGTGTCTTCTTTAAATATACAAAGTGCAGGTAATCCAATTTATTACAATTCAAAAACCATTTATTGTCTGTGCTCTAAACAGTGTATGGGATGGGATGGATGTCACCATATGGGACACTCAGAAGATTTGGCTATCGTGGGGGTACAGTCTCTGAAGTCCCCACTTCCTGGAATAACTGGTTTTTGTAGATTTAAGGAACTGACTTCTCTTAAGCTTCAGAAAACCTCTGTCATAAATCTAAAGTGGAATTCTCCTGCAGGGAAGACCAATCTGCCAGTTTATGGCCTGTTGTGTGGTGAGCAATAGAGCTGTCATCTTCCCTGGGAGCATATTCAAATGAGAACGTTTTCAAACAGAAACAAAAACAGATAAATACAGTCAGCTCTCCATATCTGCAGGGTTTGCATCCATGGATTCAACCAGCAGTAGACCGAAAATACTAAAAAAAAATTCCGGAGATTTCCCCAAAGCAAAACTTGAATTTGCTGTTCAGGCAACTATTTACATAGCACTAACATTGTATTTGCAACAATTTACATAGCATTTATGTTTTGTTAGGTATTATGAGTAATCAAAAGATGATTTAAAGTATATGGGAGGATTGTGTAGATTATATGCAAATACTACACATTTTGTATAAGGGACTTGAGCATCCACAGATTTTGTATCCATTGGGGATCCTGGAATTTATCTTCTTTGGACATTGAGGGACGACTGTAAATTGCTTTCTAGGGACCCAATGGTATATGCAACTAATGAAGCTCCCAAGGTAAGGCTTACTGGAGAAATACTGGTGTGCACGCCACTCCCAGAGGCCATGTCCTGAGAAATCACGCGGTGCGTTGGAGTAGATCCTGGACTTGGAGACAGGTCAGGTTTCAAGATCAGCTCTGACACTCACTGGTTTGGTGACTTTAGGAAAGTCTTTTAACTTCCTGAATGTTTGTTCCTTCATCTGTAAAGCAGGTAAGCTTGTTCTAGTCCACAAGTTTCTTGTGAAGATCAATGAACGTAATGGATGGAAAAGTATTTGTAAATTTCACAGTTAACATGGTAATTCCAATAAAGAGTGTATCTGGGAGATGAGAAGGCAGGAGAGTGTGTTAAATCCAAGTGCTGGGTCTGATTTCTGTGTCGGCTTATGTGAAAGAAATTGCTTTCTTCCTCACGAAACTAAAACATACACATTCAAGTATATTTGAACATGAACTTTAGAGGAATATATAAGAATCACATAGGATTTCACAGGGATGCATAGAAGTAGAAGCATACAAAAGCAGAAAATTAAAACTTTCTAAAAATAAATCTTTAAGAACATACGGTAAAATAGCTACTTATATGCCATGTACTGCATTATCACTCAATTTTACTAAACAGAACCTTATAAGGTGCACAATCTTGTAGAACTGAGGGATCACATGAACCTTCTTGGAGTGTGTATGTGTGCAGTTTATTTTAAGTGAAATTGTCTTATTAAATGGAAGTGCACAAATGTTAGAAAAACAAGGAAAAGTATCTTATTCATAAGTATTTTAATTTTTTGCTTAAAAGTCTATCAGTAGGATATACTCTTTAAAAATAATAAGCAAGAGGAATGATTCTATTCCAAGTTAGAAGAAGTAACAAAGTTAAAAAATTTTAACAACAGCTAAGATTATGTTTAGTAATGAGGAAAGAACTTGAGGCTGGTTTTTAAAGATTAATTTGTTAATTAGGTGAACATCTGGGTATGGTTCATCCCTTCCCTTGGAAACTGTGATTAATTTATGAGATTTTCATCCCCATTTACTAAAAAAGCAGTGAGTCATCCAGTGTTACACACCAGTGACAGCAAAAGTTAATTGGATTCTAGATCCTTTCACATTTCTCCCTTCAGCAATTCCTTGCTGCTTTGAGTGGAACCATGCGCTAAGAGAGTCTGTGTGTTTTTGTGTGTTAGAGAGAGATACAGAAATGAAAGGAATTACCAGTGATTAAAAAGTGAGTTTGAAAATGTAAGTGTATTTCCTTTGGTTTGTGGTAAGAAACTCTGGAGGGAGGCACAGAAGTAGCCAAATCAAAAACCAAACTAAAAACTAGTAAGAACAGCTATGTTAGTGCAGACTTTTTATAGAATGTTGATTTGTGAATAATGTGAATGTATTATTATCTCTTCCAGAAATAGGTAATAACATACTATTACCTATTTAAGACTGTCAATGGTTTGAAGTGTCCCAGACTTGGGGCTAGGAAAGGGAACACAGAGATGGAGCATAGCTCATTATAATTAGTATTTGCTAAGAGATACAGGGCCTCTTGAGGGAGAGGATTCAGCTTGGGAAAGGAGGGAGAGGGAGAGGCTGATGGACCCTGAGTGAGTGGGTGACCGGAAAGTTGATCTGCTCTCTCCTAACCCTGCAGTGGGATTGCAGTGTTTCTTTGTCTCTGACAACTACAAATCACATTCAGTTTAGAGGCCCCTCCTTAGATATCCACCTGTATATGCTGCATGATCTCAGTGCATAAAGCAATACTCCCAGATGAAAGAGAATTCATCATACAGGTTATTAACCTCATTTCTGCTTTAGCTTTGCCTTTGTAAACTCTCATTGTTTCTTCATCTTGTTTTATAACCTTTATTTTGGGGGGTTTATTTTATCTTGACATATTATGCATTTACATGAGCTACCATAAATCCTTTCTGGAACTGGAAGGAGTAGAAATAAACGTATGCATAACTAGCCTGGGAAAATGCTAACAGGTTATTTCTGAGAGGTGAGATTACAAGTGATTTTGTATTATTTTTTCAGATTTATTGAGATATAATTGACATATAACAGTTTGTAAGTTTAAGGTGTGGTAATTTGGTGCATATGTATATTGTGAAATAATTACCATAATAAAGTTAGTGACACCTCCATCACCGTACATAATTACAATTTTTTTGTCATGAGAAGATTTCAGATCTACTCTCTACAGGTAATTTTAATTGTCTTATGGTTAGTCTTCTGCACTTTCAAGTATGTGTGTGTGTGTGTGTGTGTGTGTGTGTGTATACACATATACATAAATATATAAAAATATATTCCAAGTATATATATAAATACATATTTATATATTTAACAATGGGCAAAAAGATATGTAAGAGTGGTAGAGAAAGAAGACCGGGAAAGAAGAAAGGGTAGGTTGTAGGATTTCTATAAAATATGTGATTTTATAAAAACATGGGAGGTACAGTATAAATATAGTGGTTCACTTGAAATACTTTCAAAAAGGAATGTTGTTATTTTGATTTCTTTCTTCTGCATAAAATAATAGACCATGAGATATGGTTTAAAGTAAAAAAAATATAGTCATATTTGTTCTTTTTTAATAGTTGCAAGGTAGGCCATTGAATGGACCTAATGTCATTTTAAAATCTCTCATTGTTGTATATTTGGGCTGTTTCTACCTTCATTTGGCCAGAATAAAATCCCAAAGAGTAGTACTGCCAGGTCAGAGTGTCTGTAGCCAATGTCAATAAACAAATATTTGTCTTTCGTCTTCAAGATCTAGAAGACAGATGAGCATTCTGTCCCCACTTCCTGGGCTTCACTGCACCCTGAACAGTTGCCTTGTGCCATTTTGTGTACCTGCTTCTCTCTAGGCCTCAGACCGCCTTCCCCTCACAGAGTTTCTGCAACCTGAACCTTGGATCTCGTAGTTTTATCTGGTACCTTTACCTCACAAGCTTACCTAATGATAATTGTTATCTGAATCAGTTACTCCATTCGGGGGTTATAAAGTGGTGGTTTTTAGCTCTACTACTTAGTTTCTAACTGATGTTTTAAAAAAATATAGCAAAATACAAGGAGGGAGACCTTTCCCAGAATCTACAAATCAATAAAGTAAAAGTTTCAAGCCTGAAAATTAAATAGCCATGTCAAAGCAAAGTCTTATTTTAGTAGTTCTCTTTGATGCACACTGTGAAATAAGGATTACAAAATCTAATTCTATAATCTGACTTTTATGTAAAATTTACTCTACAAGACAAAGAATCAAGGCCATATAAAAGTAAAAACAGAATAATTTATTTGAACCCATCTTTCCTTGAACAAAAATAAAAATGAGACTTTAATAAGTCATTTCCTTCAGTGTTTTACAAGCCTTTTCAACAATGCCATCGGTGATTGACAATCTAAGAGAAGGCACAGTCTTGCTTTTGTGACAATTATCTTTATTATTCTGTCGTACAAATAGCAAGAAGGAAGTTTGGGAATAAATTTAAAAAATAAATACAGCAATCTTAACAGTAATAGGAATTTCGTAAAACAAAGGCTGATGAAACTTTTACAAATATAAGGTTTCCACTTTTACAGGTTAGAGGGGATAGAATCAGTGTTGATGAAAGGGAAAATATAGATTAGAATCAATTGAGTTTTGTAGAGAATTTGATAAAAAAAAAAGTAATTGGAAAGTCTCGTCTGTCCTTTTCTTCCTCCCCATCAGCATGCTGAAGACTGTCCATTGAGAACTCTCTCCACCATGCTCCTCCATAGCACAATGCATCGTGTGTAGGAGGGAAAACCTGCAGTCTGATTTTTATAAATGACTCTTCTGCATTAAAAGGCGTGATGAGTAAAAGGTATTGGGCTTGATTTCTTCAGTGACTCTGGATGAGTATATATTTCCACTGCTTTTCTTCAAAATGTGCTTTCATTACTTAACTCCGATGCATTACTTTGCCCATGAATGCTCACCTGGTGAAGAGATACGTAAAATGCTCTCTATAGATGTCCAGTTCTACGGGTTGAAGAAACTTATATTCTTTTATTCCTTTCCATAGCTGCAAACAATATGAGTGTTTTGAACTAGTTCAAGAAAATCACATTTACAAACCAGTAAGTATAAAAGAATAAGCAATCACTAAATTCTGTAGAAAAATTCCTTTTGAAACTAAAAGATCTACTTACTTGAATATCGTGTGAACAAGTCGGGTTCAAAGCAAACCGCGCCAGAGCATTTAATGAGGTCAACAGACAGGATTCAAAGAAATGCAGTTCAATAAACAAATAGCTGGTCTGAGTACTAGAATATGAACCCAGGCCAACTTACCAATTTGTTAAACACCACTCCAGTTAGGTAATAGACACATGCAGTAATGAAAAGAACAGTCTAAGAGCCAAATAAAAAATACTTTGGCTGTCTTTCCTACCTCAGAACCAACTGTCAAATAGAGGTACAAGACAGCAGTAAGTTACAGTTCCTTACCCAGAGCTGCATATTTACTTTGGGGGTTGAGGGTGGGAGAGAGCCACTAACCACCTGTAATACTGCATTATTCATGAAATTGATCTTTAAATTTAATTGAACTTAGAGGAGAAAAAAAACCCATAGGCAATCAGTAAAGAAAAATGGTTTCTGCATGTTTAGGGAATGTTTGCTCTATTGAATATTTTTTCTACTAAGGACCACCGATCTTTAGTTAAAATAAGCAAACAGGAGTCTACTAAACTATGAAATCCTTAAGAGACTGAGTCTTAGTTGGTCTCTATCCCTCGCATGTAGTTACTGGCCTGGAAATGTTTGTGGATTGATTGTAAATTAAATAAGTACAAAACAGTTTCTGATGAAATAAAAAGAAAATAGTCTACTTGTTTGTTTGTAAAAATGTAGAATAGGTATTATATATTCATATTCAAGGAAAACAACACTTTTTAAAGTTATGAGTTGGAGGAGAGAAAGAGGAGGAAAATTTAAAAGAGATATTAGAGAGAAGGGAGACGGTCTTACAGAGAAAGAGACGGAAAGAGAAGGCAGATTTAGAGAGGGAAGAAATCTCAGGATGGAGGTAAAGTCATTGGAAGACTAAGACATGCAAAGGGCAACTTCCTCAGAAGGTGGGGAAGATGGAGGTGACAAGAGAGGGGCCACAGAGATGAGAGGGGAGACACTGGGGCCGGGAGTGTGAGTTGGTGTTCTGGGGTGGACACCCCTGGGAGAAGCAGGTCCTCAATAGCTGGTGTCCTTTCTGTGCTTAAAAAGAGATTTTCTGCTTTATTTCCAACTTACAAAATTTATTTCTGAGATCAAGTTTTATATTCCCAAGAAATTCAAAAGATATTGCTCATGTCTGAAAGCAGTGTAGTTTCAGAGGATGATTTTTTTTTTTAATTTAGGGAATCATTTTTTTTCCACATGCAAAATCCACCAAATCACTTTCTTTTGTCCTCTGAAACAGTAGCTGTCATATTCCACAGTTTAATATCAACATTTATTTTATTATTGGGAGCCTTAAAAGATAAATCTCAAGTTTTCATCTGGTTTGTCCTCAGTCTAACTGAAAAAAAAAAAAGATACGTAGAATAAAGGACAGATAGAAAAAAACAAATGAATTTAAATAGGGTAAACATTTTTAACCGGATACAATCTTAAAATCAGGAAGCAGACATACTCTGAAAATTCTTTCTATTTCTTCTTTTTAACAGTAAAAATATCCCTTCATATTCTATTCCAGAAAGTAATGAGTGTTAGGTATCATTTTAGAGAGTTTTTTAAACTCTCATGCAATACTATTCCACTATTGTGTTCTACTAGATTAATAATATAATGCTGTAAAGCAATTTTCTTTTCTTTTCAAATCAAACCAAAAGCTCCCAGCTCTGTCAGGGTCTGCTCCTAAATTACCTGCCTCCTTTTCTCCAGACTCCCTGTGACAAAAGGAATGCACTGAAGGGGTCCCCTGAGGTGCTCTGGCCACTTACTCAGCCCGCAAATGACTGCATCATCCCCCCCCCCCCCGGAATGAGTCTCCTCCCATAAGACGATTTCTCATGCATTCATCCACTGCTAGCTGTTATTTTTGGTATTTACCCAGAGGTGTGCAGAATTACTTTGCTAGAACTGTTTCTTTTGCCAAAGGGGAAGTTCCTGTGTGTGGTTATTGATGTTCTTTTCAAAGTCAATAAATGACAAATACAGAAATGATGGAAGATGATTTGTGGCAGTTACACCTGCAGGCAGCTACAGCCAACAAAAAAGGGAAGTTCATTTCATTATTTCAAAAGGCTGTAGGCTTAGTTTTTCCACGGCTGGGGAGGGAAGACGACTCCTTGGTGTCAGCCCTGAAGTTAACTGGATAAGTAGTTTCCTGGCTTTGGCCTCAGCTTAGGTTTTACTTCTCTGGCTGTGAGGCCAGACCTCACCATGGTTCTACTGACCTGGGAGTAGATTGCTTTGAATCTATTTATGAGCAGTGGGCATTTAATGGTGACAGTGTTGTGCACATTTTGCAGGTTTGTTTTTTTCCTGGTCCTATTTATAGTGACAGATCATTGGCTCTAAAACCACTGTAGCCACTGGAAAATCATCATCAGCCACTGAAAACATTATCTTGATGATAATGATTGAGAGTCAGCCTGAAGATTCCTAGATGTGGATTCATTGGGGGAAATGCTGAATTCTAGAGCTCTGCATCTAGTCCACTGGCCAGATGTGGACTGCCACATGTGCATGGCCCCAGAAGATACTTCTGTGTTAGCCTGTTTTATTTCATAAAATTATTTTCAGGTGGGTGGGGAAGTGTGTTCAAATGTACAGAAGCTATAATTTGTTGTTTTAATATTTTTTCTTCTGAGTCTTTCAATAAACTCTGGGGATAATGGGGGCTGAAGCCTGAGCCCTTTCAAAGTAGCATCATCAAATGCAAGTTCATACATATGAAAATGAATATATGTATGTATATGCATGACTAGGACATTATGTTATACACTAGGGATTGACACATTGTAATTGACTGTACTTCTATTAAAAAAAATGCAAGTTCATACTTACTCTGGATGGTCTAGCTGTTGGGCAGGGATGTGCTGAATAACTTCATAAATTGTACTGTGCAAATCTTGCCCTGGTACACCGTCAGAGGCTGGAACAGACCTAGCTGGCATCTAGAAAATGGGGCACATTAAAAAAAATTGGCAGACTAGTAATAGTATTTCCATTATGCTGCACAGTTGAAAACACTGGAAGTTGTGAAGATTAGAGAATTAGAATTGTTGAACTTCCCTTCAATGTCCATCTCCTCCTTGCTACAGTTCCCTGCACTTACCCTCTATGGTAGTCTGTGCAATGGCATAGCTATGAGGTCAGCACAAGATAAACTATCACTTTTTTCCCCTCCATTTAAGAAAAAAGCTGGCAGTATTGTAAAGGAAATATAACACAAATTAAAAAATAGCAAAAAAAAGAAGATATCAGGACAGTAGGGTCAGAGATCATATATATTAGCTTTTATATTACATCTCAGTTAACTTTTTGACACTATTTGCCAATCATATGTTCAAGGAAGGTTTGGAAGAAAGAATAAACAAAAGTCCTTATCATGCTGCACATTAGTAAAGACAGTACTAAGAAACACAAACACACAGAGGAAGATGTTTTGGTTTGAATGCAGTAACGGGCTCTAAAAACTAAAGGCTTTGATGAATGTGGAAAGTATAGTAGTGTATTTATCTGGTTAAGACCAACATGTATTTCATTGAAATTTGTATTTGTGTTTTATTAACTCCTATTCCTTATATTTGATACTGTTCTTCTTGTAAAGACAGCTTTCCAATTACTTACCTGAAGTCTGGTTCCCCTCTTCATCCCAAACTCACCCTATTTTCATCATACTTCTGACCACTTTCAGTCCTTCATATTTATACAGATCCACTTAGAAGACATTTTGCCCCTGATAAATCATCTGAAGAGTTGTTTATCTCACTCCAATTTTACCTGCTAGGTTACAATGGAACATCTTAGCTTTAGGTTTTGCTGGAAACTGCCTTGTTTCCATTCCACTTGTTAAAGTGCTTATGGCAGTCCTAGGCTATGTGACTCATCCTATCATTTTCGTGTCAAGGAGATTTTGGTTTAGACTTTGTGTTTAAGGTCAACTCTTGATTTTCTTTGGTACAGAGGTATTCAGGGGCTATGATAAAAGCAATCTATGGATAATGACTGACTTACACATCTAACCTACTATTCGAGCTGTTAGCAAGTAATAAATGTGTTCATTTCATGCCATTGCTTTCTGTCCAACTCCCAAAAAGAAGTGCTAAATGGACAATGAAATGTACAGCAAATAGAGAGAGGAGGCGTAGTCATCTGTACATGTACCACAAGCTTAAAGAGGATTCTGGGTTTTAAAAACTCATAAAGTTAGTAATTCAATTTATTTCCCTTGTTAACTTCCATTTTGAGATCTTGACATTATTTTTATTACTCCTTTTCTTCTCAAAGCCATTGCATTTGGCTGCTGATCTTCACACATAACTGCCCTTCTGACTGTTTCTCACACAGATCCTCCTACTCATGTTTGGTCCTTCACCTCCTCCTTGGGTTGCTGGTGTTGTTTTCCCACATCTCCTCAAAGCACCTGGAACTGCTACTGAAGGACCTCAGCTGATTTCTCAGGAGGTTTCAGCTTTGAAGATGGGCCTGGTTCCAAATCCACTTACGACAGAAATAAGTGGGGCTTGATATGCAATCAAGCGCTCATTTCTCTGCCTCAGTTCTTTAGAACTATGCATTTTGTGCAAATAGAGGGCCTCTCAACAAAATCCTTAAACTGAGTACTGATTAATTGTAAGGCTAAGTTTAAAGTTTCTTACACAGATCTCACTCTTTTCTAATGTATTCCTAAGAATAAAAACTATGCATTATTTTAAGTGAAGAAACTTTTGAGTTTAGAAATTCAATTCTCAGGCTTATTAGCTCTCTAGTTTGCTGCTCTCCCATTTAAAAGCCACACCTGAGAGGATTGCTTTCTGTCATGGTGAGAAGCTGTCTGAAATAACTGATCCACCAAATATTTATTTTTGTCTTTTTGTTGTTGAAGTGAAGGGTGAGCCAAACCTCCCTGTCTGAGACTGAACAGGACATTGAAAGATTTTGCAATGCAGTTCTGCCCTTCACTTGTGATGAGGGGGGGCACTGGTGCCCTGACCCACCCACAGGAGGGTGAAATCAATCAATCCTCCGTTACTCGCATGGCACTTGAGAAATAAAGCCTGTGGCTAAGTAACTTACTGGATGAACCTTACACATTGATAGAATTCTCTGATCAAGTTGGGATAACCAATCCCTAACGACAAATAGTTCTTTTTAAAAAAAGAAATGAGAACGCCCAGAAGCACTAGTCCATTTCTGGCCCCTTCCTTAAGTGAACAATCATAGGGGAATAAGAAAGCAGAGGAAAGGTCGGTTATGCACAAATCTATAAAAATGTAAATGAGCTGATTAACTCAGAGAAACATTCTGCATGTCTGTTAAACCAAACTGATTGCTTTAAAAGACCTTGTCTGTGCAAACTGAAAAAAATGGTGTTGACTGTTCTCCCTTTCACATCTCATGCACCTTTAGGATAAAAATAAAGGTATGTACCTGCATACTCTGGCTTTATATGGTAACTTTCTTCTGAAGAGCATAAGGTACTTTCAATGGTATAATCAATTGTCTTTGCAGTATCCTCAAGAGATATGAAGGGGAAATGAAGGGGAAACTGAGTAACAGAGTCAGTCAAGCAAAAGGCTGCAGTCATCAAAATGGTGTAGAATGATTTAAACCAGGGTCTCTCTGTCCCCTATTTATTCAGTTCTCTTGACTTTCAACCTATTTAATTCTCTCTTCACTGAGCTGTTTATGAGTCAATGTAACTTCCTCATTTGTGTTAGCGTTACAGATAGAGGCTGAGAAAGATGATTTAGCCCCTCAGATCCGGCAATGTCATTCATTACAGAGTGAATAAACACTGCTCAGGGTAATGCAGCTATCTGACCACACCGCCCATGTGTTTAAATAAAGGCTGCTTACACCTCTGGTGAAGCAGAATGCTACTTCTGGGCTAATCAGCCACTAGGAAAACCAACCCTGGGAACACCAGAAGCATCTGGAAAAGCAACAAATTCATATATTCCAAAGTCATCCAAAGCGTCTTCGTGGCCTGAAATGGAAAACAAATACTGCTTACAAACCAAATGCCTTGAATTGTTATTTTTTTTAAACTGTTATAAAACTTACCTTTATTGTTTGCTTCAAGTGGTAGGTATATAAAACCAATTGAACATTTCCTAATCCCCTGTAGTCATGTTGCCACTAAGTAGTGTTGGAAATCACTCCTTTTGAAGTTGAAAATTGAAACTGAATTGGGACAATTATTTTTCAAGTCTGATGTGGGAACAGTGTATCGTATATTCAAATAAACACACGTGGGCAGGCTTGTCCTTTGTAACACTCAGGTACCAGAGACTTGGGACGCTAAAGCTTCAGTCTGGCAGTCACAGCAGCTCTTACTCTACCCATAGTATCTACAGTTCTCTGCTACATCTATCAGACACCACCAGAATTCATAAGAATAGATAAAAACTATAGCTGCCCGTACATACAAAATATAATACAAGTGCAATATCACCTAAACTATCATCTGTAAAATGACAGAAGTGGGTGGTTGGCAGGAACCAGATGGTCTCTGGGGCCTTCCTGAAACCTGACATTCTGTCATTTGTGAGAAAGGAGTGGATAAGAGGAAGAAGACCCACACTGACTAAGCAGCCGGGCATCATATTAGACATTCCATCTACGTCATTGCATTTAATTCTCAGAGCAACACTGGGCTGAAGTTATGATCTCTATTGTATAGATGAGTAGAGGTCAGGAAAAATAATCAATTTTCCCAAGGCAATATTAGGGGCAAGTGGCATATATAGGACAGAAACTCAGTTCCTGTGACCCTGAGGTCTGAGCAGAAGCCTCGTCGTTAACTTATCACTGTGACTCAGTGGGGAGTCAGAAGTCAGCAGTGAGGGGCACCGCTTGGGACAAAGCAGCAGCACACCTGTCAAACTTTTCTTCTTCTCCCTGGGATGGAGCTCCAGCCTTAGGAATTGACACAGTGAGAGAATTGCTGGGCATTTGCAAAATAATAATAAGATCAATGGAATAGGATTCTAACTATACATATAAAAGAGATAAACAACAAGGGCCTACTCTATAGCACAGGGACCTATATTCAATTTCTTGTAAGGAGCTGTAATGGTAAAGAAACTGAAAATATATACATGTATGTATATGTATAACTGAATTGCTTTACTGTACACCTAAAACTAAAATTATAAATCGACCACAGTTTAATAAAAAATAAGAATTAAAAAAATGGAACAGGATTCAGCAGAACTCAGTGATGGTGGGCAAGTGACAGTCTCTCTGAGCCTTGGTTGTCCTGTCTGTAGAATGGAGTTGAAAGTGCCTTTCAGGCTTATCTTACAGACTTCTGTGACTTCGATAAAACAAATACAAGGGATAGCACTTGGTGAAGTGAAGGCAGAAATCCCATCAAGGGATTGCCAGTATTATCTCATGTGAATTCTGTTATATCAACAGTACATTATATGAAATAATTGATATCAACAATATTAATTAATATACATTAACATTGATAAAAGCCCTTTTCAGCCTGACCATTACCTGAAAATGTCTGCGCTTTCCTGTATTCTGTTTCTGGCCTGAAACGACAAATTGGCATTTCTGTCAGTCTTAATCATTGAGGGAAAAGCATTTAAGAAAAACATTATTTTCATAGAAACATATGCATTACCTGCCTTCTAGCTTCTGTTTTATAACTATAATCAAGAAAGAAAAAAACACAGTAAGATACTTTTGAGTACACATATAAAACTATTTAATTTTTTTTTCTGATTTTAACGTACCTTTGTAGGGTTGATACTTTTTCCATAAGAGGAGAAGACACATGGATAAAATCAAAAAGAGTGATACTCCAGTTATACTTGCTAAAGGGGACAATGATTTCCCTTTTTGTGCAAGCTTCTCTATTCCTAAGTAAAGAGACAAATATACTGTTAATATTTTTATTAAAGATCAATAATAAATTATATAGTTTGATTTGTTTATGCCTTATCCTTTATGGTACACTACTGCCAATATATATATACATACAAGGTTATAACTACATACACATACATAATTATAGATATGTATATATGTATGTATTTATATATATATGGAGAGAGAGAGAGAGAAAAAAAGAGTGAGTGAGAGAAAGGAAGAGAGAGACAGAAAGAGAGTGAACAGAACAGAAAGACAGAATGAATCTGAGAAGAGACCAAATGACCAAACAGAAGGAGTGCACTTTTTTTAGAATATACACTGAACTCTACAAGGATATTTATGATCAGAAATGTGGTGAGCTGTCCAGGATAATACCCAGCTGCTGTACTAAATGTAGCAAACAGCTCACATCATGCTTTTCAATAGTATTCGCCAACATTTAATTTAGATCTCTGATCTCATTGCATAAAACATCCCAAGATGCTAGGTTGATCTCTCTCTCTCCTTCCACCTCACTCTTTCAGCATTATTCAGGTATGTGGATTTTCTAGGGAAGTGGTATATGAATAAAGGTGTGAGAGGGGAGGTGTTAATTTCAAATATACTTTACTAACTTTTGACCTGTAAAGAAATTTTAATCTCTAAAATAGAATGTGTGTGATTGTAATAAAATATTTAAATTTCCACCTTGTGAATAAATTCACTTTGTTTTGCAAGCCATTCCTTTTGTTAATATTCCTATATAAAATACAGTGCTAATTGCTAACACCTGCTAAGTGCTTATACTATGTCAGGCTCTGTTCTAAGAGTACATGACACATATTAACCCATGTTCACAACAACGTTACTAGAAAGGTACTATTATTATCATCCCTGTTTATAGATGGGAAAGCTGAAGCTTGCCCAAGGTTACTCAGGTAGCAAGAGGCAGAGTCCAGATGGGACCCCAGGATCTTGACACTTTGTGTTGGCTCACTTGATGTTGTTTTAACACAACTTACTAAGTGTGGCAATGTTAACACGAGTTCCAGACTATAACATGTTTTAGTCAGAGTTAATCTGTAAAGTGGGAAGTCATTATGACCTTCAACAAAATTGAGTAACAGATGTCTTCCATTTTGTCATGTGAATCAGATATTGATGTGGAAATGGACTGTGACAACTGTCTCTCTCTGTCCAGCTTAATGGGGAATGAAAGTCATGGGATGCCATTTCTCTTCTGCCATGGTGGAGAAGAGCTTGGAGCATCTGGGTGTGGTGACGAACATGGTGGCCACTCAGCTCTGCAATAAATATCCAGCCTGCATCCTGTCATCTTCCACCACAAAGCCTCTGCTGAGGTCCCAGCAGCCAAGATAAGGATGAAACCTTAATTTTTCTGTTCTTTCATTGTGGACCTATATATACTTGCTCGGTTTTTCTACTTACAACACTTTCACTTTTTAATCTTCCCAGAATCTTTTCATAATGTAGTGTAGATCATATATGTTAAATTTCAGTTTAAAAAGTCCTGTAAATTATTATACCTCCTCTAATTTTCCCATACAATGCTGTTCTGGAGTTCCCCTTTTAAGTCCTTACGAGTTTAAGCAGGTTGCTTTTCATTGCGAAAATCTTTATCATCTCAGATGAGATGTTTATAAATTTTGGATATGCATTCAGAGAACTGTGTTCTTAAAATGTTCTTTTTGTGGGATTATAGTAGCTGTGCAATATTTATTGCTTTTAGACAGATTTTAAATTAAACTTTTCAACTTCAGAGGGAAGAAATAAATGCAAGGTGTTATAAAATAGATTAGAATGGCAATTTACTGGTTTTGATTTAGACCAGAACATCACAAAACTTATTAGAAATAGGATTTGTTCCTCCTTTTCTCTCTGCTAATAATTTGTAGAAAAATTTATATTCCCTACTGTTAGAAAGCCAACCTTTCAGTTTGAAATTACTTTAGCACTTAGGTCACCTCTTTGTGAAGTCTCAGACTTTCTTTCCTACTTCACAGGTTTGTTCTCTCTAAAGAGTTGGGCAGTTTTGAGTGAGCCACTTGACTCTAAGTGTCTGGATTTTCACATTAGCAAAATGAGGAGTGATTGGCCTTTAAGTTCCCTTACTGCTATGATATTATATGATTTGAGGTGGCCAGAGAGTTTTACATGAAGTTTATTATGTAAATATAACACTATATCCAATGGCATGCTAGAAACTGAGTATCAAAAAATTGTATGCATATGTACACATACAAAAGTTATAAATTTTACTGATATGAAGGATATGTAGCACATAATTCAGAATTAATAATAAAATATGCATTACTCTTTATTGTTAATTCCATGTAGCTAATTGATTCTTGTGGAATACTTTTGTTGATTTTTGCTGAACTCTTGCATTTTTAACTTATAGGTGAGATTCAACCATGTTTTGAAAAAATTAGACTCCAAATAAATGCTTAGTTACTAACCAATTCAGCAAAGAAATAGCTTACATCATAGATGAACAAGTGTAGTTTCAACATGAATGTTGGTTGATATTTAATAAACCGAAAGTGAAACAATGACATACACCATTTAACAATGACATGAATGACTTCTCTGATGAACTGGATAATAGTTTTTGAATCCTGGAAGAACATTTCCTCTATTTTTTTTTTGCCCATATATAATGTAATGGCTGCAAACACAATGCACATTTAAATTTAATCTGTATTATCTCCATCACTTTCTTAAGTGTAACTATCAACAATTTCTCTATCACTCTCTTGTAGACAATCTTATTAATAGAAAAACACCCCCTGAGTTTTGAAAAGTATTTTCATTAAGTTCAAAATATTTTATAATTTTCATTGAGATTTCTTATTTATCCTAGGGATTATTTAGAAGCATATTGTTTAATTTCCTTATGTTTGGGAGTTTTCTAGTTTTCTTTCTTTTATTGACTTTTAGTTGAATTCAACTCTAGTCACAATGCACACCCTGCTTGATATACAGTCTTTTGAAGATTGTTGAGATTAAAAAATACAACCATATATATGGTCACATGAAAACATGGTGTGTTCTGCAGTTGTTGTGTATAGTAGTCTGTATTATTTCAATTGGGTCAAATTGTTTTTCTGTATTTTTACTAAATTTTTGTTTGCTTGTTCTATCAGATATGCTAAAGTCTCCTACTCTGTGAATTTTTCTATTTCTTTGTCAATTTTTGGTACTTATTAGATGCACTTGGAAGCTATGCTAGTAGATGCACACAATTTAGAATTTTTACATCTTGCTGAATAGACCACTTTACTTTTATGAAATGTCCATTTTTAATCTAAAGTAGTACTTCTTGTGTTAATAAATTTATCCAATTTCTCTGAGATTAGTATGGCTACATCAGCTTTCTTCTGACTGTCTGTATGGTTGATTTGTTCATCCTTCTACTTTTCGACCTTTCAGTATCCTTATATATAAGGTGTACCTCTTGTAAGTAATAGATTTAAAAAATTCAGTTGGACAATATTTGTCTTTTAGTTGGAATATTTAGAACTTCAATATTTAATGTAATTACTAATATATTTCAGTTTAGATCTTATTTTTTTCTACATTTTCCACATTTTTAGTCTCTCCTTTGTCTAAATTTGGTTTTATCAGAATTTTATTTTATTCTTCTTTTCCTCTTTGCTTTTTATTTGTCTCTTAGACTTTAGAGATTAAGAAAATTTAACCCAAACTAATGCTTTTACCTCTTACCACTTCCACTGGCTTCCACAATGCAGTAATAACTTCCATATTAAAGATGGGAAAGCTAAGACTCCAGTACAGAATTCAGATTTAACTTAGTGCTGACTACAAATGTATGCTCTTTCCACCACTCCTGCCTGACCATTATACACGAAATATAAGTCCTTCAAATTATTAAGCCCAAATCTACTCAGTTCTACCAACTGGAACTACAACAAATAAATCAGATCCTTTCTCTGCATGATGCCATCCCAATTCTTTGATAAAATTCTTACTTCTCCCATGAGAATTCTCTTCTTCAGATTCAGCATCCCAAATGGTTTTGCTGTTCTTTGTGTGACTGATTTTCACATTCCCTACCATCCTAAAGGTACAATTTTTGAAGCTCAAGAAAAGCTAGTCAGTTTTACTTCTACAGTGCAAATTCAGAAGGACCCATACTCTGGTGTGGTTGTCAATCAGATAAAGAGAATGCCTTCTTGAGACACCAGCAATGATACAAAAGCAGAGTAATAAAGAATAAAAAATTGATAAGAAGTACTAAGTAATAAAATGGCATGATTTAAGATACAGCATAAGATTCTGATACCACTTTTAGCAAGTGAATTCTATATTTCTTCATTTTAGATCCAATATTGAAATCAAAACCAGCCAATGTTCAGATATGCATAATTAAATGCATATGCATTACATGTATATAAAACCAAATGTACACTTGTTTCCCTTTTACTTGGTGAACATGTGTCATATCAGTAATGATGAAAATAATAAAGAAATTTAAAGAGCCATTTATAGGTACAGATAAAGAAATAGTCTCAGAAAAATGAAAATATGTGCCACAGTCAGTAAGTCTTAAAACTGAGACAAGAACATAGGTTTTTTTTCCCCCGATTGCAAATTTAATTTTTGCTGTTAATCCGTGGTCAAAGAATGGTTTTCATAATTGGCAGGTAGGCTCCTATATATCCAGTTTTCCCTCCAACCTTTTCTAATGCCAGATCTAATGTGCTCTCACTCTCTCTTCTTGATAGCCTTTACCAAAATTCAATAACTCCTAATCCCTAAAAAAAGTATTCAGTGCTAATTTAGTCGAGTTTCTACAGTGCACTCTGTAATGAAAAATATTTTAGCGTAGTCTCCGCGGTTTTGCTTCCCCTAAACTTGAAAATATGCTAATAATGATAATTTCAAGAGTATTTCTCATTCTAATGCTGAAGTTACAGTATGGCATACACCAGCTCTTTCCCAAGCACTTCTGTGATTCTGATGC